ATACAAACCCAAAACCCCCAAAACCCCAAAACCCCAAAACCCCATAAAGCAGAATAGAGCGTGTTTGGAATAATAATGAAAATTGAGAAACGATATCAAACAGTAACATAGGGATTCTCTAATATTCAACTTAGAGTTGGGTAGTTGTTTTCATTCTAATCAAGATTCTCCTTTTTATTGGCTCTTCTACCTTGTTTATTGTGGATTGTTTCGGTGTAGTTATATCCTTCATCCTCGTCATCTTGATACTCATCTCTTTATTCTCTTCTTCCACGACCTCTTTCAGTTTGAGGTCTGTCACCATTTCTGTCTCCGCCTCTGAAGCCGCCTCGACCTCCTCTGAAGCCTCTGCCGCCTCTTCCACCTCTTCTTTCACCTTCTTCTTCATCGCCGTTTCTCTCACGCTTTTCGTAAACTGGCTCTTCCTCTTCAAGAACACCTTCTCCTAATTTCTCCTCTTCATCCTTTAGTCTTTGATCACCTTCTCTATCATAAACAGCTCTCTTTTCAGTAAGTTCATTGATCTTGCTGTCAAGGCTTTCCTTGTTAAGTGGTGGACTAATTTTGAGGAATCCGAATTTATTGATGAGGGTAATATCAATTTGGAATTCTTCATTTGCCTCAGACTCCTTGGCAGCCTTTGGCTTCTTTCCACCCTTCTTCTTTCCTCCAACAACCATTAAAGCGGCTTCCTCTCTTTCTTTCTTAGTCATAACTCTCTCGAGTTTACCATCTTGAAGCTTCTTCTTGACCTCTTCCTTATTTAGTTGACTGATGATTTATTTTTATTCTTGCTTAATTTGCTCATCAACTGGAGCTTGAACGAGACCACTCAAAACCTTTAGTTTTTGGCAGTAAGCAATCAAATGATCGCAAGTTTCAATTTCCTTAAGGTATGGGTTGGGTCTATCTAGGAGAGCTTGCTTTCTGGATTCAATTCTCTCAAGTCTCATTTTCTCGCGCTCAATGACTTGTAATTTTTACTTGGCAATCCATTCACTTTAGTGAATCTCATCTCTTTGAATCTCGAATTCTAATTTAGCCTTGAAATATTCCTCTCTAGTTTCATTTTTCCTGTCATATAACTTTTACAAATCATCCTTAACCTTTTGGATATCTTCTTCAAATTTATCTAATTACTATTTAATGTCCTATCTTTGTTCCTTAGCTTCATCCATTTCCTTTTTGATTTTGTTTATTTCTTCATCCTTACCCTCAATGGTTTCGCTTAAAACATTCAACTTTTCTCTAATCTCTTTCTTTTCAGTGTAAAGTGCATCAATCTATGGCTTTATTTCAAGTAATTTCTCAGCGTTTCCAACTGAGGCTTTTAGTGATTTTATGTCATTAAGGATTTTCTTTTCCTCATTATTGTTCTTGAGAGTAGTAGTTTCAAATCTTCTTTCAAGATCAATAATGCTCTTTTTAATAGCCTCAGGATCCTGATGTTCTCTGCTCAATCCTTTTCTCAAAGTTTGTCTTTAATCTTCAAAACTCTTAATCTTGTCTTAGACTTTGTGAAGTTATTCAATGTGACCTCTCTTTTCCTATCTCAATTCATTCAAAGTATCGAATTTCTCTCTTAGGAAATCCTTGTAGGTCATAGATGAACCGCTAACTTTACCACCATCTAGCACTTCCTTTTTCTTTTATCCAATGTTTCTCTAAAAATAGGTTATTTAATTCTTAGACTTACAATCTTGGCTCTAAGATGCTCAATCTGGTTATCAAGATCTCTCATCTTCTTGTCGAAATCATTTTGATCTGGTTGCTTCTTTCTTTCTTCCTTTGCTGGGACACTAGGTACTTCAGTTTCAGCAGTGACTGTAATTCTCTCAAATTTAGGTCTTGGAGCGTAATAATACTTGTAATAATAAGTATTCTCATCAATTTCAGTGTTTCTATTATTGGCCTTTCTATCATTTTTATCATTTTTATCATTGACTTGCTTTTATTCGGTTTGCTTGACTTCCTCTCCTTCTTGAGCATCTTCTTGCTTTCTTTGGTATTGAGGTTTGCGTTCACCATATGGACGATCTTGATAAGCAGTTTGAGGTCTTCCACCTCTTCCTCCTTGATTACCGCCTCTTTGACCACCACGTCCACCACGGTTTCCACCTCTATAGCCTCCTCTGTCTTCTCTAGGCTTAGCATCTCCTGCTTTGGTTTCTTCCTAAGCTGGAGCTTCACCTTTCTTTCTGTAAACTTGCTACTTTTGACTCATATTAAATATTGAATAAACAATATAAAGATATATCAATCACTACTAAAATATTCGTGTTTTTTCCTACTAGGGGTTTTGGGGTTTTGGGGGGATCGGAAGAGCACACGTCTGAACTCC